TCATCACCGCAAAGTCGGTATAGTTGGAAGTATGCTGAAACGGGCGGACCTGCCACTTCCATTAAGAAAACAAAAGCCGAGGATACAGCGACTCGTAACCGGCCACAGCACCAAGGCAAATTTGCCAAAATGAAATCACAAATCACCATATGTTTTCCGACTATGGAGCCCATACACCTCACCAGATGCTGGTAATAGCCATGGTGTTCCCATCGATCCACCAAACTATCCGCAAAAAGTTGGAGCACCTTTTTTATTGAGCAGTGCCTTCCGCGTCTAGCTCTTTCGAGCTGGCGGCACGTTGACTTTCTCCAAGCTTCACAGCGTGTGTCCAAGCTAAGACAGGCCGTATCTCGTATTTGTTTAAGCTTTGCCACCGCACTGCCTCACTTGAGGTACCACAGCGAACCCAAACCGCGTCACTGCTTTGGATCAGAGGGTATATTAGCTACAGGGGATGATAGAGACATTGCTTCAATTGCAACAGAGCACTTTACACAGACTGGCTCATAAAAGCGGGGTCATGGTATAGATTAAGTAAACCACATGGAATAGTGGATGAGTTTTAAACTTGATCCGTTCTCCACTACTACTGTGATCGGTCCGACACGGTGAGGTCGCAACTTGATCTCAAGTACTGTAGACAATGTGCAGATAGATTTGTTGCACTCAATGAAATATTTACGGCATACACGTATGTGTTTCGCCTACCTCTGGCATCAACAAAATGCATTTGTTTGTAATTGCTCTCATCCATGGTGTCGCGCACCCTGCGCATGACGCTTATCTCCATCGAGATGAGATCCATGATTATGCTACGAAGTGTCACCGGGATAACGTCTGCAAAACGATTTGATTTGGTATATTCTTCACCGCTAAGGTTAGAGCAACTTTATGGTTTTGTCAAAGATTCTTGGGTTTAAAACCAAATCATTTATGTCAGTTGATGTAAAGAATGTATGGCAGTAATTAGCGCAAAGTAAATGAGAGACAGAAATACGTGACAGCAGCGAGGTGACTTCACGCATGTGCTCCAGAGGAACCACCACAACGTGATTTACACGTTGTCGCTAACCAGCATCTTATGGATAGTGAGCTGTTCGATATATGCGCAATCTGGTGCCGAGAACCTATAAGAATGTTTTAAATCCCAAACATATGTTGTAAAACGCGAGTAACGTGCTAGTGACCGATGTCAAATGAGACAGTGATCTTTATTCCGATACATTAGCTACCGGTAAGTCATCTTGGCGAGACACTTTGTCGAGGAAAAGCATGGCTGTATTATCAATACTCACATGATTGCGAGATACGCCATCTTCCTCAGTCGGTCCACAAAGACCACAATACCGGTAATATCGGATACGTCTTTTGGGAGACCGTAAATTACGTCCATACTGATGGACTACCATGACTCAGCAGAACCAGCAGGCTGGTCACCATAGGTCTCGCCGCAAGTGATGAGATTTCAACCCGCTTTAAGCTCACACACGTGTGCATATATGTGCTAAACCATGTATTTAGTTGGTCCATCAATACATAGCACTTACAAGGAGTGTGTTTCTAATCTTACAGAAGCAATCATGTGTCTCATGCAGTATTGTGTACTTCAGTTCCTCATCATGGGACACCACTACACGCGAAGTGTTATATGGGTCAGTGCGTAATACAGCAAGCCCTGAGATAAGGCATAGCGATGCATGCGATTCGATATAGCGACACCTGAGTTGTCAATCTTCTTGCGCCCCCAAAGTTGCCTGCAGAGCAACAAATGTTGCGTCTAGCCCATATGCTATTCTATATCATATCGCCTTATTAAATGGCGACATATCCATTGTGATATGCGACAATTCATAATCAGGGCGACGCATAAGCACATCTCTCTCGACATAAAGCCGACCCGGCTTATACCTTCTTTAAAAGGGCACTAGATAGCAAATGATAACCATCTCTCTATTCTCTTGATAAATGTGTTGACAATTTAGATGTGTGCAGCAAAGCATGATCTATATAGATCACAACCGGCATAGAGTTAAGCCGGTGAACCCTGAATTCGACGAGGGCATAATTCGTTGCAAGTAACTCCAATTCATGAACACAGTAGATCATCGCAACAGCTTTTAGCTGGCAGCACTCTAACGCAATCACAGTCTTTACACCCAACGCCATCTTCTCGTAGAAAACACAGTGTATCGCAACGGCTGAAGCGTCACAAACGACGGGAAATGGCCGATCTGTGATTGAAATAACCGAAATCGGGGTATGCGTGAGGCTTTATCTCACAGCTTTAAGATTTGAAGCACACAACTTCATTTAGCATCTCTCTAAGGAGATTTGTCAGTTTTGTTAGTAGTCAAACCATGTCGGTATTGTTTGCATTGTACCTGTGCAGGTCCAAACCGGGTCAATGTACGATGCCCTTTATCGTTGCGAAATCTGCCCACAGATCATAAGTTTTGATGTACAATTAAGACAAGGGAAATTGGATGGTGCCAAAGACAGCTTGTCTATACTGACAATAAGCTCATACACCTATCACCACCCGAAAATGAAGTTGTGAAGCAGAAATGTTTATCTGAAAAGTCGAATTTTACACATAAGTTATACTGTATAAATTGTTAGCATATGGGTACAATGAACAGCGTTTCTTGACTGGAAGGAAAACAAAGTTGGCCATCATGAAGCTTGACGTGACTTCCATGCGCTACCTGACGAAGGAACATTTTCGCGTGCTCACAGCCATTGAGATGGGAATGAAGAATCACGAAGTAGTTCCCGTGGAACTGATCACCAGCATCGCCAAATTACGTCATGGTGGTATCCAGAAAATTTTGTCGCACCTGCTTCGCAATAAGCTTATTGCACACGATGGAAATGCGTACGATGGCTATCGTCTCACATACAGCGGCTACGACTTTCTGGCATTGCGTGTGTTTCTGCAACGCGGCCACATCATGGGCTTAGGCCGCCAGATCGGCGTTGGCAAAGAGTCTGACATCTACTTGGCAACGCAAGGGGACGGCACTGAGGTTGCCATTAAATTTCATCGTCTCGGGCGCACATCATTTCGCGCCGTCAAGTCAAAGCGAGACTATCTCAAGAGCCGCAAGTCAGTCAGTTGGTTTTACATGTCGCGACTTTCGGCAATGAAGGAGTATGCTTTTCTGAAGGTAAGACGGCTGAAATCGATATCATGTATAAGTTGGTTGATGCATGCGGTATTGCTATTGTAGACACTTTATGACCGTGAATTCCCGACGCCAACTCCTATTGACTGCAATCGTCATGCCATTTGCATGAGCTTGGTTGATGGCTACCCGCTTAATCAAGTGCGCCAACTTGCCAACTCAAAAAATGCATACGAAATGTCGATGGCTATTGTGGTGCGGCTTGCCGAGTATGGACTGGTGCACTGTGACTTTAACGAGTTTAACATCATGATTGGCAACGATGGCAAGATCACAATGATTGATTTTCCACAGATGATATCAACGTCGCATCCAAACGCTGCTGAGTGAGTATAGTCTTCATTATCTTCGTATCTGAAGGCACTGTGAGATTTTTTATACTTTCAGGCTGTTTGATCGTGATGTGCACGGCCTTGTCAAGTTTTTTTCGCGATTGCAAGGCGGTGCCTACACACCTGATGTATGTTCGGCGAAAGTCATGAGTGATTAGTGGAACTGTTCGATACCTGATAGTGTTTTTGTAGCGTATTCCAAGGCTTAAAGATATTGTAGCAGATGAGAACGTTCGTTTGGACGAAGATGTGGAAGCAAGTGGTTTTGGCAAAGAGTTCGGCGAGAAAGTGCATGATGTAAGATGTTGCTACTTAGATATTCGGAATTCTAAACTCAAGTCTGACGGGTAGTAATGTTGCGGGTTTGTAATGTCAGCTTTCGATTTTCTCAGCTCATCAAAACCTTGACGAAAGTGATGATGACGGTTTTAGCACTGAAGAAGAAGGGGAAGGTGGAGATGACGTTGCAAAAGTACACGAGCTTGAAATTGGTGTCGAAGCCACAACACTTGACAGCCAAGCCGATGAACTTACTAATGACTACGGATATGATGACGTTGAGGATACACTAGACGCATCAGCTCTGGAAAGCGAGTTTATAAAGCAGCGTGTGCAGCGTGACCGACAGGTTCGCCAAAAGGGCAGCGGCAAGCGGCGATCGCGGAACTTTTCCAAGCTCAGCATAAAGGGTAAACTTTACCACAAGAATGATTGGTAAATTATAAAGGTGGTTTACGAACTGGTTTTGGTTCACCCCGTGGTTATTTGCCGCTCATAGTGTCGTGCGTTTACTCAAAGACGAGTTCAATGCGTACGACTCATTATCAAGCATTCTGAATTTATATTTAGCTGAAATACTGTGAGCAAGGCTCGTTAGCTATTGAATGATACAAGATGCACTTTGAGCAGCGACATCTCCCATATCCTTCAGCACTTTTACAACGGCTTTGTGCTTTCCATCCATTGCATAGTCAAAAGGAAGCTTGCCATTAGAGTCTTTCTTCGAAGAATCCGCCTTGAGTTCCATAAGCAGTCTAACAATTTCCACCTTCCCACCCTCAGCTGCGCCATGAAGTGCCGTCATTCCTGTTGTGGTCTCTGCATTTATATTTGCCCCCTTCTGCAACAACAATAGTGTAGCCTCTTTGTGACCACTAATAGATGCCCAATGAAGTGCTGTCCGACCACTTTTATCCGCCTAAATGTCATGACAGCAGTGATACATTATCAGCCCATAGAAATTGAACCTGTCGTATCATTTAGTACCCCATTAATTTCAGCGCCTTTGTCCAGTAACAGTGTGCACAATTCTGCGTGATTGCCTCCTGCCGCGCGGTGAAGAGCTCGCCGATCTCCGGCCCCCGGTGCATTAACATCTACCGATTTTTCCTCCAAAATCTGCAAGCATGCACCCTTATCGCCATTGTGCGCTGCCTTATGAAGCGGTGTGTCGGATGGCATCTACAAAATTCCTGTCGGCCAAGTATACTGTCTTTATGCTCTCCGGCAAGTCTATCGGTTGTATTGCAAAAATTATCCCAAATCAAAATGCTCACAGTCAGGCCTGATGTCACGTTGCACGCTGTTGTTTCGTCAACAATTCTGAAAGTAGGCTTAACGAGGCTGGAACCACGTTGAAGCAGCAGTCGACAGATGTCGTTTCGAAGGATGTGGAGTTGCTCCTCGCTAAGATTGGATCTTTTACTGATTTGCAGAAAATAGACTTAAACTTGTGAATGTAGAGTGAAGGTCGTCTTTCGCGCTGTTGACTTGCGCCAAAATATTTATATTTTGAAAAGACAAGCACAACACAGTTTTGACTGACAGGCTGCAGCAATGGACGACAAAACGAACATTGTTCGCCAAATAAAATTGTCATAACATAGCTGGCATTCATGATTAAATTTGGAAATGCGAGAAACTAAAATCCAAATTGAGCTATCGATGTTATCTACTACACGTCTCACACCTGAGCTAAAGTTTAGATAAAATATAATCGAACAACGCGACCATGGCAAAGGACTATCAGGTGAAACAGAGTAAGTTTCGTGGCACAGTTCCAGTTATTTTTTTGGCAATTTGTGAATTGCAAGGCGTGCTGTGCCGCCAAGAGATTAAGGAGATTTTGTTAATGTTTTCGTAGTGCTCTAGGGATCTAAATAACTGTGTTGACGCCCATGATTGTGTGGCAACAATCGGCGAATCTTTACAGTACCAAAATTAGTTGTCAGAATCAAGACCGCCTTTTATGACCGCATGCATTTGAATGAAAACAGTGAGAAGCAGGTATGACATATTCTAAGCGAAACCAGCGAAGCTCTCGGAGAATACACATAAGACGTGGATTCTCTGACATTTTTCTATCGTGTTCATTTTCGCGTTTGTACAATCGAATCTTGCGTGCAATTGTGCCGTCAAAAAATTTATCGACGACTACCACAATGAAAAACTAAGAAATTGATTGAGTCATGTGACGCAAAAGTCGAAATGTCACTTCAGTCAAATGAAGAAGTTACTGCGATTTCGCGCTCATTGCTAGCGTCGGGCTCGATATTGAGCTCTTTTCATTGCGCGCTGAATGTGTTGAGACTTTTTGCGCTTACGGATACGTTCCTCCCGCTTGGCAGCCTCCCGCTTCTGCACCGCCGTTTTATTGGCCATTTGCTCCTTCTTTTGAAACCGTTCCTTTATTTTTGCCTCGGCTAGCTGCCGTTTAGTCTTCTTGTTGCACCCATCCTCATCCCCATTTTTCTTATCATCATCGAAGCAATCTGCCTTACCCAAAAGCGCTTTCTCATACTCTTCCTCTGTAACTTTACCTTGTTTCATTTTTTTGTACAGCTTTTCCTCCTCAGCTAGTTCATTCCACTCCTCGACAATTTGCTGGTGCAATCCTTTTTTTTTCTCACGCCGACGAGGGTGTTTCTGGTCAACCCACTCAAGCGGCCGTTTGCGTTTCTTTTCACGCATCTCAGCGTTTTTCTTGTCTCGTGCCTCATTCTCTTTCGCAATAACAAGCAACTTTTTCTGACGCTCCTTTTCGCGAGCCTTGTTTTTATACTTGATAGCTGTAGTTTTAATCTCAGTTTTGTCAAAATTGATGCGAACATTTCGCAATTCGTTGATTTTAGGTAGCTGCAGCAGGCAGAAACCACGTGCAACAGCGCCTAGATCAAGTTCCTTGAAGCGAAAAATAAATTGGCACTGATGCTCTTTGTAAGACCGAACAAACGCTATGAACGCCTTCGTACCTTTTTCCAGAAAATCCCGATCTTCCAAAACTAACGACTTGACCTTTGGCAATACGTCTTCCATCGTTTCCAGAGAAAGCGTCATTTCTTTACATGGCACTTTACGAATCTTTAAAAAGTTCACATATGCGTCTTCATTCGAAGACAGAAATAACAGAGCACAGCCATGACGTCCTGCACGCGCTGTACGACCTACACGATGAACAAAAAAATTTGGGTCCTGTGGAGGGTCATACTGCACTATCCAATCTACATCCGGGAGATCAATACCACGCGCTACGACATCTGTGCAAACCAAAAGTCCTGATTTAAGGGCTAAAAATTGGTTGTAATTCGTCGTGCGCTTCTTTTGCGGCATTTTACCATGCAGAGCTACGACAGGATATTCTTCTTTGTCCCGAAACAATTCTTCAAGCACAAGACTGAAAAAGTCTACAGACTTACACGTTGAGAAAAAGATAATAAGTTTCTCGCCTTTCTTCAACAATACAAAGCGATGCAGTGCCGACAGTCTCTGATCATGGCCTACCAAGCAATAGTAGTTCTGCAAAGTTGCTGGGGTTACTTGCGTGTTGTTTGCTACTTGCACAGAGATTGTGGCCGGATTACGCAGGCCAGCGCGTGCCAGCGCTTTGACTTCTTGAGTCTGCGTAGCCGAAAACAACCCCGTCCGTCTCTGTTTGGGCAAATGCTCTAAAATTTTATTCAGACTCACTTCAAAGCCCATATCCAGTAAGGTATCTGCCTCATCCAAGATCAACAGTTCAAACTCACGCGTCTCAACACTAGACCCCGCGCAGCGGTTCAAGAGATCCTCCGTCCGCCCCGGAGTGCCAATGACGACTGAGCATTTTCCAACTGCCTTACGAATAAGCGATAGGTCATCGTCCACACTCGTACCACCTACAAACAGTAGCAGCTGCATATCGGGAAGTGCACGCGCAAGAAATTTCTCAGCACATTCAAAAGTTTGGCGTGCCAGTTCTCGCGTGGGCGAGATGATCATAGCTACAAGTTTAGTCATATTGGAGTGGCGCGGTGCACTGATGCTGCCGTCCTCCAGCTTGACCTTAAGTAGTTGTACGATGGGCAGCACGAAGGACAACGTTTTTCCGCTACCCGTGCACGCGTCCACACACACATCCTTATTGGATAAAAACAGTGGCAGCGTAGCCGCCTGTACAGGTGTCATATGCTCAAATCCTTGAGCATCGGCCTCTGCAAGAATCTCAGGGCAAAGTGCCGGCTTAAATTCACGAAATCGCATGGACAAGAAATTGTTTTGTAACAATTGGTGGATAGAAAATGCCATTAAGTTGTTTTAAAATTCGGTAATTGCACTCGGTTTTTTTAACATTTTTCATGGCAGATGAGCTCGCGAAACGCCTGGACGGCTTCGACCAGCCCACGGTCTGGCACGAATTTACACCTCTGGCACTCGAAAATGGGGCCGTTAATTTAGGTCAAGGTTTTCCAGACTGGTGCTGCGAAAATTTTGTAAAGCAGGCGGCTAAAGACGCGCTGGATGCCGATTACAATCAATATGCACGCCCACAGGGGCACAGAAAGCTTGTCGAGCAGCTAGCCAAAAAATACTCGAGGGAGTTGAATCGAGATATTAACTGGGAAAATGAGGTTGCAGTGGGTGTTGGCGCTACAGAGACCATCTATGCTGCTGTCAATTCGTTCGTGCAGGCAGGGGACGAAGTCATTATTTTTGAACCTTCCTTTGACATTTATTCAGCCCAAGTAAAGATGGCCGGTGGTGTGTGTCGCTATATTCCGCTGCAAGTGCGCCTATGTGATAAAACGGGTTCAAAGGGGTTTTTCATCAATGAGCAAATGTTGACAGCTACCTTTTCAGCAAAAACACGAGCTGTAATTTTGAACACTCCCCACAATCCGACAGGCAAAGTGTTTACAACGGAAGAGCTAGAGCTCATTGCCAATTACGTGCGTCAACACTCGCGTGTAATTGTCATCTCTGATGAGGTGTACGAGCACATTCTGTTTGATAGTCAAAAGCACAGGCGGATCGCTAGTATAGACGGTATGTGGGATCGTACACTGACAGTGTCAAGTGCTGGCAAAACTTTCTCTGTGACTGGTTGGAAGGTGGGCTGGGCTATCGGTCCAAGCAATCTGATTAAGGGTATCTATCTCGCAAACAACTGGATACATTTCAGTGTGGCCACCCCTTTTCAAGAAGCCGTCGCAAACATGTTGGAGCTCGCTGAAAAGCCGTACAATGGATTTCCCACGTTTTATGCCTTCGTTGCCAACCGTTACGAACAAAAGCGCGACCGCCTCAGCCGCGCTCTTGTTGACATTGGAATCATACCTATCACGCCAGGTGGAGGCATTTTTTTGTATTCGGACATCTCTGCCGTGAAGGTCCCCGACAGCTTTCTTGAGTCTAATCTGTCTCATGACTGGGCGTTCTGCCGCTGGCTAACTATTTCCAAGGGCGTGGCAGCAATCCCGAGTTCTGCGTTCTTTTGTTCTGAGAATAAGACAGAGGGCAGTAATTGGGTCCGTTTTGCTTACTGCAAGACCGACGAAGCTATTGAAGAGGCCATCAAACGCCTTTCGGTGATTCATTGAAAGGATGTCCTAAGCGGGCTCTTTTATGTGAATTTCCTGATTATGGGTGGCTATAGTCACATTTATCAAGTGTTGATATTTAAAAAAAATAAAATTGATAAATTTAAATGTTGTAAACGGTGTGTCAAAATCACCAATGTTATCATGCTTATAATGGTCGTGAACACGGTCGACAGGTTCTATCAAGCGTAACTTGCGTATTGTCTCGCATCCCGCTTCCCAATCAGAAAATTAACATGGTCTTTTCGATGACGTGCGTGAGTCTGATTAATTTTGCTTGAATCAATCGTCTGAGCGCAAGCCGTGTGTCTGAAAGTATTATTTGCATGAATTCTACCAAGAAAAGTAACATACCACACACATTGCGTGCACCCCATGCTCAGATCCAAATTTGTCGTAGCATTGTCTGCTACCCCCAGTCAGAAAGTTTTAAATATTCTGCAGCTTTCTTCGTATCAGACGGTCATGTACAGCATATCATGTCATTTCTTTCTTTCCTTCTCTTATGCAGCCATTTTGCTTGGAAACACTTCCATTACGGAATTTATTCCGTTTTTCTTTAAATTACGACTAGCCCAAGTATCCAGAAGATCGAGTCAAGACTTTATAGAAAATTACTGCAATCATATTTGATACGTACCACTAACCATCTTATTGTTGATCATAAAGATGTGACGGTTAGAAGGCGATGCTTTCCATTGTAGCCTAAATTGGTTTACGAAACGGTTAAAATTGGCAAAAAGTTCGCGATCGGGCGAAATTCTCATCAATGGAGCCTCTCTCGGCCACGCTTGGACAGGCAGTCCCCAAACTGCATCTTACCGACTCCGGCACTCGCAAAAGTAGCAGGACTCGAGAGAATTACTTTATGAGTGAGCGTCCGGCTAAAAATTCATTTCATCGCCACCCAGAGACACCGACAAGCGTACAAGTGGGAAAGATGAGATCAGCGCGAGTTCTACGAGCGTCTGTCGAGCTTTTCGAGGCATTCGTTCTCCCACCTATGCAGCTTCGATCAACATCACAAATTGCTGCAGTATCGTCTCATCAAAAGAAACAAGTAACAGCAACGGAATTACCTGAGGACAGCAAGAATGATCGAGATCGAGACTTGCGCCCGATAATTGAAGAACTTTTAGACAAGCAAGACGACGAATTGGCATGCAATTTGCTTAATCGATGGTCGACGCACTCTAGCGAGGAGCATTACGCTTCAATATCACTTTTTTGTGAAATGAAGCTGAACGAAGCCAAGTGTATGGCGTCTCGGGCCGAAACTCCTAATCGGTTTTACACCGTCGTGTGTTGTCAATTGCTTGAAAAGTATATCTCACATGTAGCACTCAGCAAAATGGCTTACAGCAACGTCGATCCAGTGGCGGCTACAAATAAAAACGGTCAAAGCTTCACATTTCTTCAAAAAATCCACGACGGGTTGATAGCCTCGATTTTCTTACCCCCGACACAACAGCAAGCTCAGGACCAGGTCGGCTATAGATTTCGCACACCTTTCTTCACGGTAGTGCTCACCTGTCCGGTGTCCTTGAATTTCCTTAGACTCACTTCGAATTGTTTGGTAGGAATTAAAGCGAGCACGCTTCAAAGCCCAAGCCCTAATAACAACCGTTAAAGAGCGCGAACGTGCGCGTACAACAACGCAACAGTTATCTAATACACTGAGCAAGCTTATTACTCGTATGAATAAACGTCAGAATTGCCGAACTCTTGCTCTGACTTTTCATTGGTGGGTAAACACGATGGCTGCTCAGCATCAGATTCGAGCGGTACGCGCTCTAGACTCAAAAGTTTGAAGATTGGATCCATTTTAAGTGCGTTGCTGTGTAGCTCAAACTCCGAGCTTTTCAGTGTGCTCGCAAGACCAATCTTATTGGATCGTTTCGTGTCTGGCGTATTGAAGCTTTAAGACGAGCTTATCAGCGTGAAAGCACTGAATATCAAGCAATGTTGTCCGTTACAGCTGCATCGATTAGTAAAAAAGATATTGCAATCGCTGAAGCCGAAGCGAAGGTCACATCCATGGCAAGTATTATCGACAGTTTAAAAGAATCGAACCAGCAGCTATCACATCGTATAAATTATCTAGAGAGCTTAACAACCGCTTCTGCTCTCTCCAATGAAGGTGAGAGCCACGGCTTAAATGACCGGAATTTCGAAACACGACCGGAAAAATACGAAAACTTGTACAGTGGGCATACACTCGAGGCAAACTTTGAGCATATAAATAGTGTGCTGACACAGGACGACGAGCGCATGGATCGCACTAATTGCATGCTACTTGAGATATTATGTGGCATGGCCCGCATGGTCGAAACGTGTACCATTCAACTGTCCAAAGTCACGATGGATTCGCTCGAGAATCAACTCGACGGAAGTGTACTCCAGCACTTGGCCGACACGGTACGCCACGTTATTAACTTTTGACCATCTTGGCTGCTGTTTCATCATGTTCGTGATAGATACAAAGCGAAAATGAACGCAAAGCGAAAGTAGATGCAGCTGAAGGTTGCGAGAGTCCTCACTTCAGTAAAACCTCCACATCAACCGCAGTGCTTAAAACCTCTTCACTTGCAGCAGCACGTCCTTATGTTATAACAATACACGATCTGGCTGATTTACCGATCGATACGTTGCTGCTTCACTGGTTCCGAATGCACTTGAGCTCGTCAGCAGCAGAGAAACCCACCTACCGCACGATAAAAAATTTTACCTCAGATCTCGCCGAT